ACACACACACACAACAGTGGAGGTGTAACTTTCTTTGACATTTCACTTTCTTTGCTGTTAGCTGATTCATAACAGATTTTGTCAGTGCATCTCATTTCTGATTAGTGATTTAGGAAAGACACAAAATAATCACATCTGCAAGTGAGAATGTCTGATGACTGTGTGAATATTAAGGAACTTATGTGATTTGTAAATGCTTTTTTGACATGTCCGCAGGTGTTAAGAGTAATTTTACTTTCACTTTTCTTCTTTCCAAAGAAGTGAAGCTTTAAAAAGTGATATTTCTAACACACTCCTAATTATTTTTCCTATTTTTGTCTACATTTTCTTTACTAACTGGAAGTCAGATAAAATAAACAATTATTACCAGTGACCAAACCACTAAGATGTTTTAGAGACACTTCAACCTCCTGAAAACTTCTGATCAGCTATTTCAGCAGTTGTCATACAACACAGGACTGTAAGTCCATCATTCACAGTCTTACCAAAATGATAAATAAGTAATAAAACAATATCATAACAATATCACACTTGGTGCTATCTTATTTTTTTAAAGAGAGAAAATGATCTCTTTACCATCAGCCTGTTACTTCAATAGTTATTGGATGTTTGACTTAACCTGCATGTACACCACACCTGGGAGATTTACCATAATGAATACCTGATGTGGTAAAGTGGTTAATTCTGCCTATAAAAAAAATCCCTTCCTCTTCCTGTGGGCCCTGGCTGTTATTTATCAAACGAAGTAACATCCTGTCACGTGACCCCTCCTCCCTCCCAGCAACCCACCTGTGTGGACTTTTCTCCTAATCCTCCCATCCCCCTTTTTGCTCTATGCTTTGAGTACTTAGGCTACTGAGTGTAACTAATTCTCGCACACAAGGATATTGTCTTCTGCCTATCTCTGCTTTTGTCCTTCCCTTTCAATCCAGCCATTCGCTGATTACATGAGCTGGCGGTGTGGTGAGAGAGAGAGTTAGTGAACGGGGGAGCTATACCAATTAAAAGGCCTTAAAAGCCTATTATCATCAGTTTAAGTTCAACTCTTTTTTCTACAACATGAAACCAGAAAAATATTACTCACCAGATGAGCATGTGAGCTTTAAAAGCTATTCTGTGATTATTAAACTGTCATTAGGATTGATGGTTTTGAGCTGCCTTGTATAATGGTTTTTCTGTTCTGGCCTGCAACATAGTACTATTTGAATTAACAAAATAATTTACAAGGGCAAAAGTGACCCTTTTTACAATGACAAACCACTGTCATTGTGCAATGACATTAGGTTAAAGACAAAACAAGTAATTACAGCTGTGTCTAGTGGTTTAAATGAAATGTGTTCAACAGGCTGCTCTCCTCGCACACAGCTGCAGAGATCCTGCAGCTGCCCAGGGCACCAGAAGCCAGTCTCTGAGGATGGACAAATCAAACCTTTCTCAGACACCCATTTGCTGTACCCCACCCCTACTCCTCCCTCCCAGTGGATGACCCTACAACCAGCAAGGGTCAGCTGGTCAGAAGGAGCCCCCCACACCCTGGCCCTCAGTGCGGAGCCGCAACGTAAATCAGCGGCTGTTCATCACGGGAACCCTGCCCTGCCTGGGGTCTCAGCCCAGCCTGGCACCATCTGTCTCAGGCCTCTGACGCAGAAGCAGCGCTGCCAAGGAGGGTTCCCACTGACCTGCTGCATCCCTAAGGCCATATGGGCCAGACCTGGGACCAGAGACAGATCCATCACCACTGGAGTCTGCACATGATAGAGGAGGCATGATGTACATACTGTAATTCATCTGTGTACTATATGTGTGTGAATGAGCTTATACAATGGCCAAATCAAATGTAGACAAAATAATAGGAATTCCTTACATGTGATGCAGCCCACCACAACAGCACAAGACAACATTAGAGCTGAGTAATTGTTTTCCTGTCATGGCTGCTTCAAATCTGGGAAATATACACTAACAATGATTAAAAGCTGACATTCACTGAAGAGCTATTTTATCAGCTTACAGTTTCCATCTTCTCTACATGGGGTTCAAAACAACCACTTCTGTGGCCCACTGTGCTACTGCTGAAACACCAGTGCACTAACATCCTAATGGACTGCTTCCCTTCATCAGCATGAAAAGGAAAGAAAGGAGGAAAAGGAGAGAGTACTTAAATATCCTGTTTACGCTTTTCAAAGCATTACCTGACATTCAGTGGCTTCAGAAAGTAATTTGACTTTCACTTTTTTGCACACTTTGTGTTGTAGATTACCTTTTGTGCCCATCCATCTACATTCAGTCATCTATAATGACAAAGTGATAACATGTTTTTAGACTTTTTAATGAGTACTCAACCATAATTCAGTACACTGTAGGAGCCCCTCTGACTGCAATGGCAGCCTCCAGTCTTCTTGTGTAAGTCTCTACAGGCTTGTGCAGTTTTATCACATTCTTCATGGCAGATTGTCTCAAGCTCTGCCAGAATGGATGGGATGTGTCTGTGAACATTTTCAGGTCTCTCCACAGATGTTCTACGGGGTTTAAGTCTGGACTTTATCTGGGCTGAAAGGACAGTCAGCAACTTGCCCTGAAGCCACTCCAGCGTCGTCTTGGCTGCTTCAGGTTATTGTTGCACTGAAAGGTCTGTGTCAGGTCACATGCAGTCTGCAGCAGGTTTCTTCAACAACCTCTGTGTATTTGACTGCATTCATAGCTCCCTCAGTTCTGACCAGTCTCCTTGTCCCTGCTTAGCAGGTGATGAACAGTGTCTGGTGCTTTGAATTCAGTTTTTGTCTCATCAGACCAGAAAATCTTTTTTCTCATGCTCTCCATCTATGCAGAGGACTTCTGAAGTTCTGTCAGTGACTGTTGGGTTGTTGGTCACCTCCCTGACCAAGGACCTTTTCACCCAGTTACTCAGTTTAGTCAGACAGCTGACTCTTGGAAAAGTCCTAGTGGTTCCAATCTTCACCCATTTCAGTTACTGAGGCCACCGTGCTCCTGGGAACACTCAAAGGCTTGATAACAGTTTTACCCTCACAGGGATCTATGCCTCAAGTTTTACTTGAGGTGCACAGAGAGTTCTCTAGACTTGACTCAGTTTTTGTTCTGACATGCAGTGTGAGCATGGGACCTTGTAGTTTATACACAGGTGTATGCCTTTCTAAACTTTGTTCAGTCAGTTTGATTTGTCACAGGAGGACTCCGATCAAGTTCTAGACACATCAAAGATAATTCAATCAAAAGAGATCCACTAGACCACAACTTAGAGTGCCACAGCAAAGGGTCTGAACACTTAGTTGCATGAAGCTGTAAAAACATGTTTTCACTTTGTCATGATGGGTTATTGAGGGTAGATTTGTGGGCAAAAAGTGATGTGAGTAGATGATTAATTATCTAAAAAGCTACTAAAGAGGAAGTTGAAAAGCAGCGATATACTGTATGGTTACAGTGAAAGGGCCAGTATGGGATCCTGGCCAAACTGTCTGAAAACAATCCTCCTTAACAGGAGTGCTCATCTTATGTTTATAAGGTTTTCTCACATATTGCCCTCTACGGTTTAAAACTAAATTGTGTCCTCTTCTTATTAGGCCTTAATTGTAGCACTGAAGGCTACTCTCAAGTTCCCACCTCCTTTACAAACTTCCTGTTCCATCTCTGGCCAAAACAAGTCAGTCCGTTAGTGTCCTGACCTACATGTCATTTTGCTGTATCACTGCCACAGATGTGCACGTGTAAAACAGTCCAACCATTTAAGTGCTAATCTAGTCCCTGCACTCCAGCTCATCGCCCTTGATGATTTGACATCTTTTCCCTTTCCATCACAACAGCACCTGAAACTGTGACATGTAAATCTCATCAGCAGAGACAGTCTGCAGGTCCCCAGGCAGGACAGCCCAGCTTAGTGCTTCCTCCCACAGCCCAGGCCTTGCTTCTGGCCCCCTCAGGCTGGGCTCTAATGAGCGATCACGGGTCATAAAGTGGTTGTGTTACTATTTTCCTTTTTCCAAACCAGTAACACCAGCTGTTCACACTCTTCACCAGAGCCTTTTGTGAGGCCTGACAGGCTGTCAGTTCCACGCAGAGGATGGCTGGAGAAGACGACATGCATTACCTTGAGATGACACTGCATTCCACCGAAGGCCTCTCTTTATGAGCTAACAATAGCTTTTCAGCAAAGCATCAAAAGTTTAACACTGACGATTCTCTTTGCTGTTTAGCTCCTCGCACTGCATCAAATCTAAACACATATCTTTAAAAATATATTATGTAAATTAATCTCAGATAAATGAAAATTGAGGTAGAAATCATTGTTTCTTGAGACTCCAACCAATGATATTTGATGTAAGCTTGAGGAGAGATCTTTGGTCGACATCATGGCAGGACAACATGACCCTGGGTGACATATACAACTCCAAGATAGAAACAGATGAACCATACACACAGTAAACAGGGTGTCATTCTGACAAGCGTAAACTTCTGAACATTTTGTATCCATGTCCTCCGTTTTGTTCAGCCAATCACTGTAAAACCAACATACAAAAATATAACTGGGCTGAAATTTACTGAATCACAGATTACCTGTAACAGTGATTTTTGTTACCTTTGACTAGTCTGCTTTTTGTGTACATCTCTAACATGTTATGAAATAAAACATTTAGCATTAGATTTTAAATAAAATTTCTAAGCTATTAAAATATATTAGACACAAATTAGTCCTGAGACGACTCCAGTGTTATCAGTAGTATGTGTTTTAGTATGGCTACATGTACATTCATAAGGAAAAAATAAAATCTGGCTTGGTCTTTCATGATCAACTTTAAGGGGAACAATGAAGACATCTTGTGTTCAACAGCTCACTCACCCAATTGGCTTTGTCATATTATTTGAGCACATACTGCCCTCATGTGTTCTGACAGTGGTACTGACATTATCCTCCCAAACACAGGTAATGGTCACATCACGCACAGTCACAATCACCAAGATAGTGAATAAAATGTGTCAGTAGTGGTAACTTAAATCATGAATTGGAGAAATTTATTTTCAATTTTTAAACAATACAGTTTAATTTCACTGACTTGTATAAATGCAGGCATGAGCTTTTGGTCTGAAATAATACTACACAGCCAAACAGGCAACTTACAGATATACACACCAACATAATAGGCCTAGAAGGTACCATAAATGACATATAGGGCCTTCTCTGCCAGTAAAATAGGCATTTTACTCCACTGGTCTGAATTCACAGGGACTATGAACACTGTAGAATTAAAATCTTTGCTGTCCTTGTACTGTATTTTTCAACAGTGCAAAATAACTCCAACCTGTAGTGAAAAGAGATTACAATGTTTTGTTTGCTTTACCTTCTAATACAGCATGTTTTACTATGACTGGAAAGAAAGACATCACAGAAACCTTTTTTTGTACTGAAGACTGCAACAGGATCCTGACTGCTAATACACCATGTATGGACAAATGGAAAACAAAAAGCTTCAAAGAATTACAACTATGTAAAGTTACAAATGAAACACAAATCTTTGCACCTCTCCCAAAGCATCCACCTGCATTCTTCACAGCTCAATACATTTCACTCCCTTCCGGCCTTCAGTTTCTCCTCCATTGTGTGATCTCCTTTCGAACCTCCCATGCAGGGTGGACTCTTAGCCAGGGTGGGGTTACTGTCCCACTGCTCAGGAGTTTTTGCTTGGATAGCCAGTGCATGAACACAGTTGCTCAACTCCTCCTTCAAAGCCTCATTAATCATACGGTGGCGCTGTATTAGTGGCAGACCCTGAAACTGGGAGCTGACAACCAGGACACGAAAATGGGACTCAGATCCGGGGGGCACAGCATGCATGTGGCTTTCATTGTGGACCTCTAAGTGGTCTGGCTTGAATGTATTAGTTAGTTTGGTTCTGATAGCACACTCAACGGGCCGGCTGTGGTCTGGGTCCATGTATGGTCTGAAGTGAGCTAGAGGCCGGGTTAAGGCAAGACTGGTGGAGATGGGCCGAGCACAGCAGAGGACAACGTGCAGCATCAAGAGCTTGTGACTGGAGATCACCTAAGAGAGTTAGACTGGTATGAATAGATGTTGATGATCTGAGAGGTAATAAACTGTTTAACACACCTTCCACTGACTTGGCTACTTATGAAACAGTAGCAATGAGCAGCTGGTTGTATTTCTAACATTAAGTTACAACCAACAGTAGCAATGAGCAGGTTGTATTTCTAACATTAAGTTACAACTTGAGAGGAATGATCAGTATCGGCCAGGACACGACCAATCCACACTACAGTGTCCGTGCCATTATAAAATACATTTCTTTAGGTACCAGTATGGTGATAGGTGCCACAGCAAGGCCTGGCCTCACATTCCTTACATAAGGATGACCACAATACATTCTACGCAGTACACACTTCTAATTTGGAAAACATGGGAGCGTTGTTCTTGTACATGTTACCAGCAGATATCCAGAGCTGAGTTATCGGAATCAGTATCGAGAGCGAGAAAACAAACTATAAACGTCGTAAATGTTCAAGTTATGCCAAAGTTGTATTTAAACGGAGTAGCATTATACATGTTTGTATATCTATTAAAATGACCATTGAATGACTGGACCTTCATGACAGGCGTCGTTATATCTGTAACAGGATTTTAATGCCACTGTAGAGCCTCTGAACTTAATTCATACAAAGTGACATTTGTAACCTGTCATACACAGCCAACTCAGTAATTAGCCCTGGGTTAATTTACGAAAGAACGAATGTAAGCTATATGACGAGTCTTTGCTGTCGACGTTAAGTAAGTAATTTGCATTAGAAGGCACTATTACAGTCACATGTGAGTTGGTGAGACAACTACAAACCACAATGCCATTGTAGTGCTAGCTAAACTTCAGCTAATTCAGTTTGCTAGCGTTAGCTGTTAGCTTGAATAATGAAACTAATACGTAAGGAAAGTGAGACAATGTAACCGAACCTTTACACCGAACAGCTCCATAAAATATAACGCATGCATCTGGTTTTGACAGTTCACTTAAATAATAAATTTCTGAATATAATATTAGCCAAAAGGTAGAGTACATTTAGCCACTAACCTTGCAAATAACGTCAGTTACATCCCTGGAATCATTGCGCAATAGCCACCGGAAGTGTTGTGCACAAGATGGGGTTTGTAGTTTTTATTCACTTGTCGGTTCCCCAGTAGAATCTCTGGTGACTGTAGACTTTTAAGGTTGACTTCAGGCGAGGTACACATTAAACATTTGCTTTACACAGTCCAGCGTTATTAACACAGGTATTCGGGATACAGATGTGCAGATGAAAAATGCTACCTTATTCCTTCAAACCAATATTTGAAGCTCAAACTGAAGATGCAGTGTTTTAGAGTCTCTTTGTGGTCACTGAAAGACTGAATCGGATACTGTAATACAAAGACCTGTACCTGCACTTTAGGCTACATATTTGATTGTGCATTGGTCTAAAACTTACCTTTCACTTTTTTTTTTTTTTACTCAGGGTGGTAGTGGATCTGCTGTTGTTTTGTTCCAATTTGATCCTTTTTTCATACAAGGTCTTGTTACTCTTGTTTAAATGTAGTTTTTACATTTTATGAATAAATTTATTATTATGCTTTGATTTTAATGCCACTGAATATTGATTGTTGCTTCTCATTGAACAGCACTGAAAACTGGAAACAAAGAAATGACACAGAACGACTTTTCCTGAATTTTTGCACTTGTTTATTCTTCATTTGTTAACCATTGTGATTCCAAAGGGTCGGCTGCACATCAAAGTCCAAACCCAAAAATCAACAGGAAGAAAACATAAGAAAAAAATCTCACACACTTAAAGAGAACTGATGTCACATTTAGGTTAAATAGGATTCATAACTGGTATTTAACATTGATGTATTTACTCATGTTTCATTCTCATTTACAAAATACACAAAACCATAGACAACATACAGCATTGTTCATTTACACATTTTTTAAATTACTTTTTATATATCTTTATATTTATGGTTCCACAAGCAGATTTTATACTTAATCAGCTACGGTTCCTACAGCACAGTACAATGACGAATGTGATAAAATTCCTTGTTACATTTAATTAATGGCAATGCAATCTTATTGACAAAAGGGCTAGAATTGTTTTAGAGAGGATACAGAAATGTTAGCAGTTTAGTCCTGCGACATTATTAAGCCAACAATCAGCATTTTAATGGACAAGGCCAGCATATAGTAATGTGCTCCAATTCCCAACAGCTTCAAAGCCAGAAGAGAGAAAAAGAGACAAATACCAAACACTTATTGCTTTGTTAACTTTTTGCACTCACGATTGATTGTTGCTCAGACAACAAGTTATTTATACCAAAAAAACCCTGTGACATAAGCTAAGATATGTGTCTATGAAAGACAATCTTGACTTGGACAGAGCCTGAAGTGAGACACTGAGGCATTTTAGCATTTTAACAGCATTTCATGTTGAAGAAATACATCAGTTACCATGACATCATTGTTCATTTCTTGAGTGATACAGGAAAACATACAGAGAACAGGACTGCTGACGCTTGGCTTTTATATTTGTACAGTTAATGTACATATATATACTATCACTGTGCTTTTAAGAGTGGATCTGGGCAAAATTTGCTTTCTTATTTACTGGCCACTTTAGCTTCGGGAGCCATTATTTCTTGTTGTTCTAAAACAAGAGCATCTAGACTCCTAAAGATGAAAATGAAGTCTTCATTACCACATACAATAATAAGGCCAGGTGTTCTTGTTTCACATGAATGGCAGTTGGAAACCTACAGAGACTAGCTGCAATACAGCAAATGCCCAGAGTTCAAAAGGGTTGGAGAGCTATTAGTTACATTATAGTTATTTTTATATACATATATTCATATCTATAACAGGGAATTGATGTGTAATGTGTAAACTCAGGCCATACAAAATATTTGGCAATGGTTAATGAGAGGTGGTACTCATGGCACACTTATGATAAGGAGTCAGATATCAAATTCGGAGTTATTGTAAGAAGGAATGAGACAATAAATTGTAAGGGCCATCAATGCTTGAAGCAACTATGTTCACAACTATTCAATTGTCACAATCTTGTCCTTTGGTAGGTTTTACCTTTGTGCTCTTGCTAAATGCTCACCTTGTTCTTCATTAAATCTCTAGTAGGCTGCACCAGGACGTGTTTTGAAGAACTCGGGGCATTCACATTTGTGCATGTACGACAGTGTACACAGTGCAATGGGTTGTCTATTCAGCTTCAGTCTCGAGTCTACGTATGGCTGCTATCCTACAAAACGGCAGTTTGGACATAAACATTTTTTGTTAATCTGACATGTCATCATTTTTGTTTTCTTTTACCATGTAATTGTGAACAGTTAACCATTACTTTCCTAAATCAGGGGAATTATTTTCACTGACACTCTGTGCTGTATATGGTAGTGAGTTCTACGGTGGCCGACACGGTCACAACACATGCAAAAGACACAACACATGCAAGACACAAACGCGGTATTGAACAAAACACATGCAAACGGAAAACGCTGCATTAATCAAAAAAACACATGCAAGACAGAAACGCGGCATTAAACAAAACACATGCAAAAGGAAAACGCTGCATAAACCAAAAAACACATGCAAAAGGAAAACGCTGCATTAACTGAAAACACATGCAAAAGGAAAACGCTGCATTAACCGGAAAACACATGCAAAAGGAAAACGCTGCAT